CAGCAGTCCTTCGAGGCCGTCTTCATCGTCGCATACCAACAATGTCCCGACTGCGCAAAGTCGTACACGGCCAACGTCTGGCGCGCCTGCGTCCAGGTCAGACAAAAGGTTCTGCACAAGAGGACGTTCCTCTACCTCGAGCAGTTGATTATGAAGCACGGAGCGCACAGAGATACCCTGAACATCAAGGAGGCCAAGGACGGAATCGACTTTTTCTTCTCCGCAAGGAATCAGGCCGAGAAGTTTGTTGATTTCCTCAACTCTGTCGCCCCTTGCCGCGTCAAGAAGGCGCAGGAGCTTATTTCTCAGGATATTCACACGTCCACAAAGTCATACAAGTTCACCTTCTCGGCCGAGCTTATCCCCATATGCCGTGACGACCTTGTCGCCATGCCCATCAAGCTGGCCAAGTCTCTGGGCAACATCTCTCCCCTCGTCATCTGCCACAAGATCGGAACCGCAGTATACCTCCTCGACACAAACACCCTCCAGACAGCAAGCATCCCCTCAGACATTTACTGGCGCGCACCATTCAACTCGCTCGCCGACGCGAAGTCGCTCGTCGAGTTCATCGTCATGGACGTCGAGCCGACAGGCGTCTCGAGGGGCAAGTGGCAGCTCGGCGAGGTACAAGTCATGCGCGCGGCGGACCTGGGCGTCAACGACAAGACGTACTTCGCGAGGACGCACCTGGGCGGCCTGCTGCACGCGGGCGACTCGGTGATGGGCTACATGCTCACGGGCACCAACTTCAACAACCCAGAGTTCGACGCCATCGAGGAGTCGCACGCGTACGGCTCGACGATACCCGACGTCGTGCTTGTCAAGAAGCACTACGCGCGCAAGAGGAAGACGCGCACCCGCAACTGGAAGCTCAAGCGCATGGCCAAGGACGAGGGCGAGCTGCTCCCCAAGAAGGCCGACCAGGAGCGCATGGACGAGGAGTACGAGCAGTTCCTCCGCGACGTCGAGGAGGACGACGAGTTCCGCTCCACCATGGCCATCTACCGCGCCCAGAAGGCCAACAACCAGCCCGCCGACCCCGATGCGATGTCCATCGCCGAGACGGAGGACGATGACGAGGCGCCGAGGGTCGACATGGATGAGCTCCTCGACGACATGGACGAACTCCAGATTTAGGATTAAGCTTAGTCGGGACGGGAAGGGGGGGTAGGGGGACGTGTGCGTGTCGTACGCGGGATGCGACGGAAATTTGGTTGTGCGGGAGATGCCCCGACTACCTACTTTCACTCACGCGGTCCCGGTGGGTTGTTAAGGTTAAGTGGCCGTCTGCGGGGACGAAGTTCGTTGCTTCCTCTCTCAGCGTTTGTTTCTTAGGGCACAGAGCAACAATACAACGTCCAGGGTTAAAATGTCTTCAAAAACGAGGGATGGGACGGTTAGGGATGGGCAAGGCGTGTATGCATCAGAATCAGATACCTCGCACGCCGGCGCAGCAGCAGCAGGGGTGGGCGTTGCGTCGTCGTTGGGATACGAAGAATAGAAAAGGCCACAACGTGGCTCATGCGCTTCAAAGCCTCGTCCTCTCTCTCTATTCTCTGTGTCGGGCTGTCTCTCGTTGTCGTTATCGCCGTCGGCCAGAGGGGAGGATGAAGCACTGGCCACCTCAGTCGGCGATGTGCCTTCTCAGAAACTCTATCACCGCCGCTTGCGAATCCTCATAAGGAGGGGGAGGGGTGTAAGTGTGTGTGTGGCTGATCCCAATTCCCCATTCAACGGCCGTCGTCGACGAGCGAGGCGGACGTGCGTCCGGCACTCCCGCACGAGCCTCAACGCCAGCCCGTCCGCTGCCGACATGTGTCCATCGCCATTCCCCGACCTTCCTCGTCTGCCCTCGTCGTCCGTGCTGCACACCTCTTGACGATTGTACATGCCCTCTGCCTCTGCCTCGCCTTGCCTTAGGGTGCCGACTGCCTGGGCCCTCCCCTGGCCCCCATCCTCTTCCCGTCGCCGAGCCGTTTCTAATCGCCGATTTTCGTGGTCGGTGCGGTCGGCACCCCGCGGAGGCAGAGGAGGCTCTTCGTTCGTTGGGCGGCAGGGCTCCCCTACCTTGGGACGCAGCACGCCTGACCCCATGTCCTTCGGCGATGTCGTTTCAGAAATCACGAGTCCGATGGCGAGCACGACGGCGGTGGCCCATGTGTCCTGCCCGCGGACGACGGACTGCGGCGTCTATGCTTGCCGCCGCGGCCGCCGCCCGCCTCCGCGGGACCCATGCCCTGTGTTTTGTTTCCTTTGGGCGTGGGATCATGCATAGACGCCGGCGCCGAAACGCCCATTTACCCCAGGGCATCGACCACCCCTCGGCGCGTGGGCTTGGACATGTTTGCTTCCCGCCCTTTCCCGGTGCCGTACTCCATGCCCTCGTTCGTGTTCTCTAACGCCCTAGGTCCTATTCCTCCAGACTGGCTGCGGCAGTTTGCCCAGACGCGCGCGCCCGTACCAAGACCTCCACCTCCCCGCCGCGGCCGTGCCGTCTGCCGGCTGGGGCGGGAAGGAGGATGAGACGGTTTGGGGGGCGTGAAGAAAGAGAGTCAGGGAGGGAGGGGCCTTGGAGACGCAGAGGGCAGGTTCGGCGGCGTAGGTTTTAGCTGGCCGAGACGGACTCTGGTGTCCGACGGCACCCACCCACGCAGGCTGCTGAACGGGCTTTCATGCGGCGGGGTGGAGGTGGAGTGCGTCTTGTCCGCGCCGCGCCGGCGGCTGCCATCTGATGGTGATGTGGTAATGCTGCGGCGGACGAGAGAGAGGTCTTGGTGGCCGGTTGATGGTGGTGGTAATAAACGGGTGGTTGTTGAGATGGTTTGCGATGACGAGGGGCATTAGGTTGATGATGTATGTCTTCGGTGTCTTGGCGCTGTGAGTGGTGTTTGCGCTGTCGGTAGTGGTGGTGGTGGTGGTGGGAGGCGGGTGTTGAGGGGACGCGTGTAAGTGAGGCTTCCGGTGAGATGACGAGGTTTTTCGGCAATCGAACGGGGGACAACACCAAATTGCCGAGTACAGAGACAGGCCGGTAGTCGTGAATAACTTCACATGCGCACACTTAATGAAATCTTCTGGTTACTTTATATGTTGTTGATACAAGTGTAGCCTTAGATCATAAAATGCTGTACAATGTTGGTTGAACGAGACCCACTCCAATCCGTCAAGACGACAAGAATAGATTTCCATCACAACATTCTCGTTCATCGCCTCATTGCCAAGACGCCAGACGTAAATCATCACCGGGCCCTTGGCAGCTTGGTGATCCAAAAGCCGTCTCTTGGCGTCCGTATGCCGCAGCAGCAGGTAGTTCACACCCCTCTAGCTGCCTCATCAAGGAGGAGCAACTACCGATCCCAAGGAACCTTTTCGTCCTATAATGGAGATCGATTATGCTTCAATACCAACGGTAGTCCAAACAAGAAAGAGTGGGAGGGTCCCTCCCGCTGCCGCTGCCGCTCCCACTGCCGAGGAGGACTTACACACACACCATACACCCACACCCAGCCCAGCCCTTCAAAAGATCTTGCCGAGCACCCTCGCAACATCCCCCGCCGGCTTCCCAGCCGCAGCAGCCTCGCCGCTCTTCCTCTCCGCCAGGGGTATCTGCTTGAACACCGTCCGCCTCTTCTTCTCGCCCTCTCCGCCGCCGCCAGCAGACGCCTCTGCCGCTTCCGCCGCACCGCTGCCACCCTGCTTCTCCTGCTGTTTCCCGCGCTTCGCCCTCGTAGCCGCAATCCCGTCCAGCACCCTCGCGCGCTCCACATTGCGCACAAACTCCTTGTTCTCCCTGCTCGCCTTCCCAATCTCCGCGCGCATCCTGCTCGTCCGCTCCGCGTTCTCGGCCGAAATCTGCTCCGTGAGGTGTCTCCACTTGAACCCCTTGAGGTACTTGAGCGTCCAGATGTCGTCGTGGTAGTACGAGCCCTTCTTGCCGCCGATCGTGCGCGCGTTGAGCAGCTCGCACACGGCCTTGGCGTCGCGCTTGCGCACGAACTCGACCCAGCCCTCCGTGTACGACTTCTTCTTGTTGCCGCCGGCCTTGACGCGCCGCGCGTGCGCCGCCGGGTCCTCGGGCGCGAGGAAGATGCGGTTGATCTTGCCGTACGGCTCGAGCAGCGAGCGCAGCTTCTGCGGCTTCATGAAGGGCGGGATGCGCGAGATGTAGACGACGCCCGACTTCTTGACGGCCTCTTCGGACTGCACGAGGTTCTTGTTCGTGAGGGGCCGGGTGACGTCGGGGAGGAGGTCTGCGGGGGATTTTGTGGTGGGCTTTTTTGAGGTTGATGCTTCTGCGGCTTCATCGTCGTCGTTGTCGTCTGCCTCGTCGTCTTCGGCGGCAGCGGTGGGAACTTCGCGCTCCTCGTCGCTAAAATCGTCTTCTTCGTCCGAGTCGACCTTGCGTCTCTTTGCGCTGCGGCCTCCTTTGCGCAGGTCCTCGGCCTCGGAGTCGTAGCCCTGGTCGAGGTCGTCTTCGCTCTCGTCGGCGTCGAGGAACTTGTTTCGCTTCTCGGGAGCCATGATGAGCAACCGAAATTGGGTATATTAACAGTGGTATGCGATTGAGATCCTCGGGGTCGATTGTAGGTCCGCAGCAAAACCAATGGCTTCGTCGAATATGGAGTCGTCGTTGATCACACACACACATGCAGGACATCAATCGCAGCAGCCGTGGTGTTCTGCAAAAAAGTTTTAGTGGAGCCAACGGTCAACCGCGACGAGCCTGATTACCTCATCATCCTTATCACTGCTATCGGTATCTTATCTGCAACCGCGCTCACAGCGCGCTCCGCGGTCGGCGGGGCAGCTCAGCTCCATCGCCCCTCACCGACGTTCAGTGTTGCCCCTCCATTTGCCCCTCCAAGTGACGATTCATGTGGCCCAGCCAAAGGGGATATCTAAGCCGAGTTGCCAACTGATCAACCATCGTCAACCTCACTCTTCACTTCCTTTTCCTCTCTATTCTTCTAATTATACCCAAGTACAAACCGCCCATCATGTCCGTCGAAGTTCTCACCACAATCTCCCCCACCACCAACGAGCCCATCCTCACCCGCAACGGCATCTCCCAGGCCGACTTAGATGAGCTTCCCAACACCGCCACCAAGGCTTTCGAGTCGTGGAGCAAGACGTCTCTCGCAGACCGCCAGAAGATCGTCAGGACCGCACTCAAGCTTCTCCTCAACCTGAAGGATGACCTTGCCCAGGAGCTCACCGTCCAGATGGGACGCCCCATCGCCTACACCGGCGTCGAGGTCGCCACCGCCGTGAAGCGCGCCGAGTACCTCCTCAAGATCAGCGACGAGGTCCTCAAGGACACCGACGGCGAGGCTGAGAAGGGTTTCAAGCGCTTCATTCGCAAAGTCCCCGTTGGCCCGGTTCTCGTCATCTTTGCCTGGAATGTACGTTTTTTTTACATGTCTCGCCATCTTCTTGGCCGTTGCGTGGCGACTCCACCACTTAGAGACATCACGAGCAACTGCCACCACCCCTGCTCACCTCATCTGACTAACACCACTCCAGTACCCTTACCTCATCCTCGTCAACTCTCTCATTCCCGCCCTGTTGGCAGGCAACACCGTCATCCTCAAGCCTTCCCCGCAGACGCCGACAATCGTCGAGCGCGTCGCCAAGGTCTTTGAGGAGGCCGGCCTCCCGTCCGGCGTCCTCCAGCACTTCCACTGCGGCTCGCCGACGCTCATCGAGTCCATCGTGCGCAACCCCAAGATCAAGCTCGTCGCCTTCACCGGCTCCGTGGCCGGCGGCCTGGCCGTGCAGCAGGCCGCCGCCGACCGCGTCGTCAACGTCGGCCTCGAGCTCGGCGGCAAGGACCCGGCGTACATCCGCGGCGACGTCGACATCGACTGGGCCGCCGCCGAGATCGTCGACGGCGCCGTCTTCAACTCGGGACAGAGCTGCTGCTCCGTCGAGCGGGTCTACGTCGCCGACGAGATCCACGACGCCTTCGTCGAGGCCGTGCAGAAGGTCCTCAAGGGCTACGTCCTCGGCGACCCCTTTGACAAGGGCACCCACGTCGGCCCCGTCATCTCGAAGCGCTCCAAGGAGACCATCGAGGCGCACGTCCAGGACGCCGTCGCCAAGGGCGCAAAGGACGCGACGCCCGAGAACGAGTCGTTCGCCAACCCGCCGCCCAAGGGCAACTTTGTCAAGCCGACGCTGCTCACTGGCGTCGACCACTCGATGACGGTGATGACGGAGGAGACGTTTGGTCCCGTCATCCCCGTCATGCGCGTCAAGAATGACGACGAGGCGGTCAAGCTCATGAACGACAGCGAGTTCGGCCTGACGGCCAGCATCTGGACCAAGGACACGGACCGCGGCTACGAGATTGCGGACCAGGTGGAAGCGGGAACTGTCTTCGTCAACCGATGCGATTTCCCCAGCCCGGTAAGTTCTACAGCGCTGTCCCTTTAGAAACTGCATTGTCCCCGTTGAATTCCCATCACTGCCTTGCTGGTTTTCTTTTAATGCCCTCCCGTTCGCTCCGGATGACACCCTTCCCGGTGCTGCCCCACTTCTTCCATATGTTCGTCCGGCATCCTCCGTGACACCAAGCTGCTCGGCCCTTTACCAGGTTCTTGGTTCTCAGCAGCTAGAAAGCAGCTAGAAACCTCAACCGACTGGAGTGGGCTTTGAACGGCTTTTACTTCGCCCTCTTGTTGACGTTGTGTTTGAACTGCCGCCATTACAACCGCTTTCTTTTGTCCTTCCTTATGACGTCGTTTTTTTCTTTGATCCTCTCTCGCAAGCCACCTTCGTCAGGGCTCTTTCACTTTGCTAACAACCACTCCAGGACCTAGCGTGGACGGGATGGAAGAACTCGGGCAAGGGACAGACGCTCAGCCGCTTCGGCTACGATCAGTTTGTCAAGCTCAAGAGCTACCACTTGAAGGACTACCCCAAATAAGTGATGGTGAGAGGGGGGGAAAGGGAAGCTTGGGGAGTCAAGCAAGTGTTTGAAAGGCTTAGGAAGCGCACGAGCCTCATGATGGTCTCTGTTTGTGCTTGTTTGACAGGAGCACCGGTCGAGGGCGGCGGCGGCGCTGGGCAAAATGGCAGTTATGGTTGTTGGGTTTTTGTTTTAGGGTGATTTGCAAGGCAAGGGAATGGCTTCACGGTAACGCGATCGCGAGTTTGAGATGGAGCCGCGGCACTTGTCAGTCGGGTCTTGGCAAGATGAGGGGAGAGTCAGAGCACGAGAAGGGCCGTGTAGAGTTTTCTTCTTCCCTAGCTCTCTGTCTATCTTACTCTGTAGTCTAGGAGAATGCACGGACAGCAGCGCCGCGCCGCTGGGTTCAGTGGCTTGGCGATGGCCTCTTTTCACGAACGATCAAGCACCATGACTTGCGACCCTTCCTTGGTGTTTCGAAGAGATTCTGCCAACCGTGATGTATGTGGATGTGAACCGGGGGGGGGGGGGGGGGGCCATCAAGATCGGGGATTTCAAGGAGCGATGGGGCCGTGGGAGCACGGGGCACGAACCGGAGGATCGGGGAGAGTGGGGGCCGCGGACTCAAGACCCAAGACCCAAGACCCAGGACCCAGGGGATGCACGATGATGGAAGTGGTGGTTGACTTGGTGGAGGCGCGGAAGGGGTTGGAGGGAGGGGAGGGTAAGGGGAGTGCACGATGATTGTGATCCTCACGACGTACTGCATAGTATGGCCTGTCTGTCTCCTGGGCTGCCGGTATGACACGATTGAACCACGGATGGCATGATTCCTAAACGCCGACAGCGATATGCTTAAGCGGTCGGCACTCCTCTCACAGGCCGCCTCACCTCAGCTCCTGGGTGAGGTGACAGCCAAACCGCCCACGACACAAGACAAAACAACATGCTTTTTTTTTTTTTTTTTTTTTTTTTGCGGGATCAGCCCAACGGACAATGATCAGACCGCGTGCGTCGCCGTCGTTGTCAGTTGTGCGCGTGCGTGTCCAGGAACCCGGGACAGCGACAGCCCCTGCTTGCGTCCCCGACGGGAAGGCCAAGCTCGTGGGTTGTGTTTTTTGCGCGTGTGCGTGGTGTCTCTCCTGCTTGCGTTGTGTCTTGGGGTGGTGGACTGCCCTGTCCTTTCGGCGATCTCTTAAACGGGTAATCAAGTAATGCTGGGGAGGAATGTGTGTGTGTGTGTATGCGTCCCTGACACTGCCGAAACCGAGGCTGTCACTGGCTGGCGGCGTTGCTGCAGCGGCACGACAACGCATCTTCAGAAAAGAGTTTGGGGCAAATCTTCAGATTGTCCGAGAGCCGTCAGGTGGTGGTGTGAAGGGCGTGTTTGTTATGTTTGCTGCTGCGGTATCCTCAAAATAAACTCGTCTCGTTTTCGCGACAGCCATCCTACTGCTGGGGATGTCCCCGTCGACGTCATGAGATGAACGCCGCCGCAGCAGTTTGCAAAGCGCATGGGCGGCAAGGAGGGCGAACAACGTTAGAGAAAGCGCCGCTGCGGTGTCAGTCATTTGCCGCACTACCAAAACACGACGAATCCTTGAAACCTGGACACGCAGCGAGAGCGAAAGCGGCGTCAACGATGCGGCCGGTACGCGGGAATGGCTTTGGGGGGGGGGGGGTTGTGTGATTCATGATACTGTAAGCATGGCATGGCAAAGGTCGAAGGGCGACTATGACTGCATCACGGAGGGATTCTGCTGTTAGTTCAGGTTTGGGATCGGACTGACATCGCGGGCCCTCTTCCGAAGGACACGGAAGGATGCTCCCGCGTGCTAGCTTCGTACGAGAGACGACATGCTTCCCACGTCCTCCCTCCTCCGATACGGGCTAAAGTGGAGCCTGCCATCACGGACTATGGGTGATCGACTCGGACAATTGCCGCGGCCTCGAGAGTTAGTTCGGACTTCAAACCTGGAAAAAGGAAGAGGGTCCGAAGCTTCTTTTTTGGGCTGCCTTGCCTTAGTCAGAAGCGCGGCAGGTGCAGGGCACGGGAAGGGGACGGGTAGAGAATCAGACTTTCAAACTGGCGCAGGAAGAGAATCACGGCTCGACGACCACCGCGGCGACGACACTGCATAGGTTTGAGGCGTTACGGGCGTACATGATGTGTGGCGAACGGGAGACGTGGATGGCATATTCAGGGTCCAGCGTCCCCTTTGACGTGGCTTCCTTTCTCATACACGCATAGACTCTGTGGGCAGACTGGCGAAGGAGCAGAACAAGACTGCTTGGGAAGTGTGAGTGTGTGTGTCAGAGACGACTGCGCCGCAAACCGTCGCAGGAAAGCGTTGGAGTCGGCCGCTCAGTGTGTTTGTAAGAGAGTTCGGAAAGCCACTTCTCGGCCGCAAGTGCTGGGGCAGACAGGTCGGAGTCAAAGGGTCCGCAACAGTTCTATTGTGAGTTTCGACTCGGGAACGGTTGAGCGTGCAGAGGAGAAACAAAACGCACACGAGGAGGGAAGTGAGACTGTTGGATGTCATGTCCGCAAACGGAAAACACACCATGGGTCTATTGTGTTGTTTCCGAAGAAGGGGCGGATACTGAGGGGAAGGGGAGGAGGAGGTGGTGGTGGTGGTGTGGTGTGGTGTAGCGTACGATAACATCTACCGATGGGCAGAGCAGGCAGACTGGACCGCGACAACTGCCGCGTTCAGCCACGGTCGGGGCGGTGGTGATCGGGGCCTAGTGAGGGTATCGTGATGTTCTCGATCTTGGTGTGTGCCTTGGATGTGGTGGTTTGGATGCATTTGGACAAGGCAGCAAGGTTTGGTGTCGATGGGGACTGCTGGTGCTGGACCACTGGGAAGGTCCAATGTCGTGGGACGCTAAGGCCGTGGGACAGCCGAAGCCGGCGATTTGGGACCGCCCTAGAGACGCCCAAGTCGCTAAGTCGCTAGCGGCCTGCGCTGGAGGAGCGGGAAGGGTGGGGGGGAGGCGTCGAGACGGCGCCGTGGGTGGGGTGCACACGGCAGCACAAGCTTAGGTTCTCTGTCAGACATCTCACTCTCATTCACTCCCAGTGCAATGGAAGGCAAGGCAAGCCTCTGGCCGTCTCATCGTGAGGCGTCGACAAGCCATCCAACCAGCTCACAGGCCTCGTTCAGTCATGGGCGGCTGCGGCAATCGTGCCTTAGGTAAGGCAGGGCAGCCCTTCCTGACCATGCCCAACGAGGCTCAATCCCGCGAGGATGGATGGATCTGCCGCCTCTGCTGGAGCTGGACAGGCTGAACAGGGCTAATTATCCCCAGCAAGAGTCCGACCTTTCCCATCTCTGGTAGCGAGACAGAGGAACAGCCTTAGATACACCCCCAAACTCCACTTCCTCGGCCGTAACAGCAATCGCTAGTCCCTGGAGAACTTCACATCCGTGAGCCACGTCGCGTACGACCCAATCCTACGGACGAGATCTCTTGACTCTTTTCTTCTGGGCAGCAGCCTCATTGGGGCATGGGTCGGGTCGGGGGATCGGGCGCGGCGTTTAGGTCCATCGTGTCCTACCTCACCTCACCTTGCACGTACGAATATGCACTCTCTCTCTATCTATTTCTCCACAGTCCGCAGTGCCGCCTTACCAAAGATGGCTATCGCTGAATCCTCACTCTCCATCTCGTAATCTTGCAGGGTATCATCGGGGCTAGTGGTTTGCTTTTCCCTCTCAGTCAAGTAAGATTGAAGAAAACCTCAAACGGGGTGTTCGTACATGTGAGGCGAGCTGAAGGGCATGGGGTTATTCGTTCATTGCTGCGTGAAGATGTGTAATCATGCCTTCACCGACTGCCTGGTTCCCACCGCCCTGCGAGGAAACACAGCAGGCATCACGATCCTTTCCCGCGAGATCGCGCCAGATATGGCAGCCTAGCGTAGCACCATCTCGCGATGCGGCTGCCTGGGTTACGGCTGACTACTTTTTTCTTTGCACAGGATGCAATCTCGCATCTCCCAGCATCCTGGGCCGTGCGCATGCAGGTCCGAGAGAGATACGTGGTTATGGAGAAGCGAAATACGTGATTGGGGAAGAAGCACGCAAACCACAGGATGCCCCTGTCGACAGCTCGCCTCCGTCTTCGCCTTCGCTTCGTCAGCCCAACAAGCATCCATAATGGACAATTACCCCCCCCCCCTCCACTCCAGCGCTGGCGTATGCCCACCTCCAACCCCATTAGCCAGGGCAAGCAACTTCGAGGCTGAACGCCCTGGGCTGGCAAGCCTCGTCCAAGCTTCTCAAGCATGTCCAAAAGCGACCATGAAACCCGCAACTTGTCAGCTTGGCAGGGTGGCTGGCGTGGCTGATTATTCGTACTGCTTTTCTGAAAGGGGGGTGGTGGGAAGGATGTGCAGATGCAAGTCGTTGCTCTATTCACGGGAACGAAGAGATCTACGTTGGATGCGTCCAGCCCAAATGCATACATACACACAATCTGAAGCTTAGCTCCAATCTGCGTTTTCCGGACAACGACGACCGTTGTACGGTTTACTGTTTGCGCAAGAGGGAAACGATGCAACGAACGTTCTAGTCCATTACCGGAGAACTCGGATGGTGATGCGTTTCCTGAACGCGGTGATCACGAAATTCGGGGGGGATTGGGCTCGTGGGGATCATGACAGCAATGGCCCGATCTCTCCTTCTCCCCCATCGGTGTCCCTTCCCAGGGGTCCATACTGGGCACGTCTGCATTGAGAATAAGCCTTACGGCTCACAAGGGGGTGGGCAGCAAGAGAGATTGTCATCATCGATATCGTCACCAGGGTTTAAGGTGGTGTAGGGCTTCAATTGGATCCTCGGTCTCGGCCATCCCTCATTTTCTTCCTCCGTGGCATTGTGATTCGTAGATTGCAGGTTGATTACTGACCGACCAACCGCAAGTCCCGAGGAATGCTTGCTCATCCACAAGTTTACCCCTGCCGCGGCCTGCTGTAATCTGCCAGATCAACGCCAGCGCAACTCTGCTGAAGAAGCAAAAAGGAAAACGGCGCTAGTCCACAGATGGGTTTCCGAGTCACTGGCTAATGGGTATCTATCAGAGTCACAAGAGTGTCTATCAGAGTCATATTGAGACGGCGCAGGGCTGGCTGAGTCGAGTCGGTAATCATCGTGAATGCGAGGAATGCTGTAGCTGCCCCCTTCCAATTCACACATTTCGAAACCGTCGCACTCTTCAAGTTCACATTAGTTACACGTCGCGATACAACCCCCGCGCGCCGAAAGCGAAAGTGTGAAAACCCCCCCCCCCCCCCCCTCTGAAGCTTCTCAAAACACACAAAATCGTGATCACCGTCCTTTCTTCCGTTCATGCCGACGACCGCCGCCGCCGCAGCCGGACGGCGGCATCGCACGGCGTCCATCAACACCGCACGCAACCCAAAAAAAAAGTGTTGAAGCCCAATGCAACCTTTCACGAATCACCCCCTGCCTGCCAACAAATCTTGGGTCCGGCATTGTGACCCCATCGTCATTCCCATGTCCCGCCCCCGCGGCCCCCACCGGCGAGCCCCGGCACTCCGGGCCCAGCTGGGGTTCCACCAGGGGGGCAGCAAGCAACACGCACTTCAGCAGCTGTGCGGCGGCGTGCGTGCGCGCAGTCGGCCAACTCTCAGGTTCTGCTTGCGCACAGATTATCCGGGGCATTGCGGCCAGGCACAGGATGATGCTGACTGAATAAGCACGGATTTTGGGCAATGCGTGGGCAGCACACCACACCCCCTGCAGCACATCCGACCAGGTCCCCGAAAGGAGTAGGAGCACGGCGGCCACGGCATCGGCGACGGCGACGTGCCATTTTTGCTTGCTTGCAATTCCTTTTGAGTTGGTAGGGCACCCACGTCCACCAGAGTCGGAAGATGCAGGGGTCGCCCCCTGCTGTCCCTGGGGCTTATATCTGCAGAGAGTTATTTGTAGACGCCGTACAGCAATTAGTGTACGGCGCAGGCTGCAGCAGGAGGTCGCATTTGGGACATTGTGACACTATCGAGGAAAGGAGACGGAGAGAGAACACATGTAACCTCAGATCGTCGTCGCCGCGTCCGCGAAGCACATGGCCTCAGAATCGCGTGACCCGTTATCCGACCATGTGTCGTTTGTGTTGTTTGTGCCCTTATTCTCCCTTTCTTTCGCACGTCAGCGCGCAGCGCGCTGTATGTCGCTGAAGAAACAAGACAAGTGATCCCGTAGGCCGCGCCGTGGTTGGTCAGCCGTGATGCACTTCCCCTTGCATCCGGATGTTGATCTTTCCATCTGTACGGTTTAAGTGCGTGCGTCGCGTACCTGTCTGTGTTTCTGTTCCTGCATTTTTCCTTGACCGAGCACAGAGATCACAGAAAAAAAAGAAAAAGCCGTTAAATTGCGTGCAGCGCACGACAATCTCGCGTGTTGCTGTGCTGTACCTTTTGCATTGATGGGCCATTACGGGAAGGCCGTGTGTGCTGTTTGCCCGCTTGCGCGTGTGCGTGCGTGTAAGTCGCTGGAAACGTTGAAACATCGCCAGGAGACAGGACAGAGACAGAGAGAGACAGCAAAAATTCCAAACAGCGCACACCCCTGCCGAACCGTCATGGCCGAAGTTTCAGAATCTCGCAGTTAAGGAGAGCAGGTCAGCAGAAAAAGAGTTTTACAGTTTTACATACACACGCACGCATTCCGTCCGCAGTCCGCCCAGTCCGAACTCTGTGTCCGCACGCGTACCTGTCTCTCGTGGAAACAAGGCTCTGCCCAGCACCGCATTCCTCCCAGAGGCTGCCTGAACCAGAACCACCGCTGCCGTCCGCAGCTCTGCGTGCGTCGCCGTCGCCGTTGGAGGAGTCGGCGGCGGCGGCAGGATCGTGCTCTGATTGGGAGGTTGACGAGCGTGTGTGTATTCCCCGATCAAACTTTTCTCTGCATTGCTCGTTTTCGTCGTTGGAAGTTGAAGCAGTGTAAGCACCCAGCACCATCCCCCCATCGCCGAACCCCCCGGTTCGCGATCAGCCTTGCCCTGCCACGGCCAAGCAAAGTCAAGTCTCTTTTTGGGCAACGATACGGCGAAAAGGTACCTGCCCACAGAATCTTGCACGGCTTGCTGCATTACATGCCCAAACATCGTAATCTCATAGCAGATTCCCAATTTAACCCTCTCTGAAAGGGCCTCGTGAAATCGAGAGACAGAGGGCCCATAGGGAAAAGAAAGGCCGACTAGTAGCTACGGATAGGCTCGTCCGTCCCTCTCTACGTCCGTTAACCCAAAAAAAAAAAAACCTTGCACCCCACCCAGGAATTCAAAGATCGTACCCCCTTCAGAGAATGAAGCCTTCACGCCCTGCCACACACCCTCCACCTAACCTTCTTTGCCCAAAGAGCGTGGCGCCCGTCGGCCGACGGACGGACACATTTCTTCAATTTTCCCCCCTTGACGCAAATGTTCGAATGGCATGCCGGGGAGCACCAGACCACGGCACTCCACTCTCTCCTTCCACACGCCCCTCCCTCCCCGTCCTTCGGGGAGATAGAAGCGCTAGGTAGATGATTCTGGCATTGATGAGATGGGACGCAGAAAAAGGGCACACACTCAGCGCAACTCTCCAAAGGGAAGAGGAAGGATGGGGTGCGTGTCGTACGTATGCAGCATACGTCCCCGGCACCTCCACACACACACACACACCCCCTCTACCGTAGGGCAGGGCGTGTGGTGTGGTATTGCGCGTGCAGTGCGGCTGTTCCCCCCCCCTCCCCTCCGCCCATCCTGCTGCCAACACCACACCACACACCACACACCACACACACCCGCCGATCTGGGAAATGGAGATATATGATTCTGGCTTCTCCCACCCTCACCTCTGCTTTCTTTTGCGGAATCAGCTCGCAATCTAACTCCACCAACTCAAATCCCAATCTTTACCCAATATCTTCAATCCAAGGGCTGAGCCGCAGGAAGCAACACAACGACACAATCACGTCGAGACAAGGAGCAAAAGAAAGCATACCACACTATCACTACCCAGCAAGAGCGAAAGGGACCCGAGAAGCTGGAAAGGGAACACCAGAAAAAGAAAGGAACACAAGGAACAATTGGATATAAACCCAACACAGCAACCAACCGATCGATCTTTCATGTCGGAGATCGTCACCCGGCATCCCTCGGAATCGAGAAACAAAACATTCACTTCTTCATCCCTGTGTACGACCGCGACACCGCACTTACATATACCACCTCGACCCTCGCACCACACTACCACCTTCTCGCAACCACCACAACCACACACACACAACAGCCATAATGCAGACCGACGCAGCCATGGACTCCCACAACGACGGCTTCAAGGTCTTCCTCAACAAGGTCATCCGCCGCAGCAGGAAGGAGGCCAAGCCCAGGGGCGTGGACATCTCCGCCCCATTCGACTTCAAGAAGTGCAACCTCGAACTCGCGGGCATCAGCGCAGATGAGTAAGTCTTTAGACCTCAATCACTACCATCAAACGCAATGACACTAACAACCTCTCCAGAATTGCCATGCTCAAGGAACAAGCTGTCGCGAGCCGCATCGGCATCGCCGACTTCGACTCCGACTACACCGCCAGGCCCATGTTCTCCATCCAGTCCGGCATGTCCAGCGCCTCCATCTCCACCCTCGGCAGCTCCTACAGCAGATGATTGACTCAATCAACCTGCAAACCAACAAACCACACACAAACAATACATACACTAGCGATGGACGGTAATGGCAACTTGCCACGGGTTGTTACACCCAGGACGGTGATCAGCAACGTCTATTTTATGAGCGTCAACTATTAGCGAGAGCGAGCGTCCGGCACTATCATGCCTTTTGGGAACAATGACTTCAGCGACGGCGTTATTGGAGCGGGGAAAAACTACTGCAGCGACGACGACAGTCGGTTCGCTCTTGATTTGCTTGGTCACTTTTTTGAGATTATCAGTACGATACCACTTGGTACGCAGTGTCGACTGCAGAGAAGCTTGCGAGCTGAGGATGATTGTTGTTCAGAGGAAGAGAGAGAATGGTGCCCAAAAAGGCCCAAATACAAATACAGTAAAGTTACCTTTACCTTCACTTCTTCCGCTGCCACGCCTGTGATCTTCTTTCATCGCAATGCTTCCGACGACTGCGCCTCTGGTGTCTGTGGCACGCATGCACCCTGATTTGGAAGTATTCACATGCCGCTGAGCTGCCTCAGCAAACATCGTCATTGTCAGCCTCGTGATTTGTGAAACTGCAAAGCCATGGGCCATGGCTGCTGCCTTGCAGCCTGCACCCGAAGGTCCCCGATCCCCACCTCGGAGCCGTAGGGCGAAGCCGCCGAGGAAGCAAACATGTCAAACACGCAAACATGAGGCGCGCGTAATGCTGCGCAATGATGCGCAGGATCGAAAGGGTCGTCAAAGGGACTTGCGCGCTTTCGGGTGTCACGTAAGCTGAGCCCCATGCGAGGTCGCAGGCCAGGGGATGTTGTCGATCCTCCACAGGTTCCAACCAACCCACTCTCACCGAGACCCGAGCCGATGTATCTCGGTGACAGGCGGAGCGCTCGCCAGTGTGCCAGTCTTGGCTTTGGGGCGGACGGGCGCAGGTTACAGCGCATTAGTGGGATACGCAGCAGCAGCATCCAGATCTGGTCGGAGCAGTCAGAGGGCCGGGTAGCGGCATTGGGCCGTCGGCGTCGGCATATTGAGGGCCACCTGGCAAGGCCACGGGGATAAGTTCTCATGTCCGGCGGCCGGATGTAAGACGGCGCAACCAGATGCCCGCCCTCCGAGGCAACGAGAACGTGGCTCTCGCGGTTTGAGCATCCGCATCACCACTCATGGTCATCCATGCCTGCGGCGAAGCGGTGCCTGGACTAGATGCTGTTTTTTGGGAACCGGTGGGCTCCTAGGCTGTGTGTGCCGTGCCGCAACACATGGCGGCTCTTTTTCGTGAATGGATGGCCGCGTGACCTGAAAGTCGTGAACGAGCCCCCACGAATTGCGGGAAATGTTGGCGCGATCTGTCAGAGCTAGGGGATTGCTGGCCGGTGCTCAATTGCGAAATTGTGGAGGAAGCATGTTGGCCAATGTCTCAGCACGTCACGTCTGTTAGGGCGCGACGTGCAACCCCTCGAGGATCATTTGTCGTGGGCAGAACTCCCAGGCTCCATCAGCAAGGTGCCAGACTCGCGTGCCAGACGGCTGTAAGCCCTGATTCAATTTGGCTCCCGCTGCCACTTTAACAAGTACCAATCGGTACCAATAGTTGGTCAATGGAGATCGCATCGCCATCTCCGTGCCATGTGTGAGATTCCAGATGGTAATGATTACGGACAGGTCAGGGTCTGTTGGGGCAGATTACACTGGCAGTTTTGGGCGCGTTGCCATTCGTCGACGGACGCAAGGGACAGGGCAGGCGGGTGAGCGTGGGATCGAGTGTTTGCTGTTTTGGCCCGTTTTGGATAGGTGAGCGATGGCATAGATGGGGCCGGCAGGGACGCCGACGAGGGTTGAACTGGCGGTGTTGATGTGTTGTTTCTTTTCTGCGCGTGCTGCTCGCGGGGCGGTGACGGTGACTACCCGGCCTCGATTCTGAAGACGTGCATGCTGATCTGCGGCTGGGCGCGAGGAGGGCACGGCCATGGACGTGTTTGTTTGGTCCACGAGATTGTCTCTCCATCGAGTTGAGATCTCGCAGGTCTCAGAGCCGTGATGCTTGATATCAGCCAGTCGTTGGCCACATCCCTCCGTCCGATATCGAGACAAGAATTCTGCTAGCAAGGTGCTCTGAACCTCACCGTTTTGTCAAGACGGCATCGCTGCTGTGTGTATACTGCATACGTAGTATGTGTGGTTGCAGCGGGAGCTGAGCCTGAGGTCCGCTCCGTAGGTTCGTTCATGCGCATGAGGTTGAGGGGTTGCTAGAGGTGAAAAATTTGCGTCTTGAGTGATTGGTTTCTGGTGGTGAATCACCAATGAGCAGGCGCGACTTGGTCGTTAGCGGAGGCTACCAGCGGGGAAGTAACGGGCCAAGATGCAGTTGCAGCCACTGGTGGAAACGGAGATGGAAGGTGGGGCTGGAGGCTGCTTCCCGACAGGACGGGGTCCCTTTGAGTCCTCAGAGTCCTGCACCTGCCCCTGGTGCACTGTGGCTCCCCAGTCTCCGACCCTCCCGTTCCTTCCGGCTTCTCCCAGTATTGAGGCGCCCGTGATTGGTCATGGACACCGACATCTATTCGTGTCCACGGCCTTCGCCCTTGGTCAGCCAGCCCTCTGAGTCCCTGACTGGCTTCCCCCGCCATTCCAGCACATTGGTGCCGGTTTCTTCTCGCTGGCAGGGGCCACAGGGCAACCGTCAAAGAGTCATCAGGCCCGTTTTGGCAGTCGGCTGGGTTCGTAACTTGTAAGAGTGCTGGGACTTCGCTGGGAGGCAGCCCCCCTTCACACGTTGAACCCCCAAATTTCCCCGTGTTTTTGAGAGGGTGTTGACGTTCCAGCGGGCTTGGCTTAAGCCTGCAGCGATGATCAATCTCGCGTCCTTAGGCGTCACCAGGGAGTCGTCATCTCGCAAAGGGACTTGGAGGAGACCTGTAGGAGTTGTGGGCGAGGTATCTTGTCGCATGTCGAGTACGGCGGAGTACCTCTCCTCCGCCGTTACGGTGTGCGCGCGTGAGTACCGCTAGCCGTGAGCCATTTCGCGTTGGCGGGCGAAAGGGCAGCAGTGGGTGATGACACGCAGACCAAGGCAGTACCTTCTGAGGAGTCGGTGCCGGACGTTGCTGAAGCATCCGTCCGGTCTCTGGGAGGTATTCGTCCGTTCTCTCCACGTCGTCACCTGTCAGCTTGATGCCCTGCGGCCTGCGACGAAGGGTGTCGAGCAAGGCAAATATCGGAATCGCGAGGCGTCAAGGCCACCTGTTGCTTCCTCGAGGTTTGCCTCAGTATTCTGGTGTTTGAGCGTCGTTGCCCCCCCCCCCCCCCCCCCATCTCAGGCTTGGAGTCAAGATCCATTCCAATTAATCGTTGCTTTTGGGACACCAAGAACGACAGGGAGCTCGCGGGCGAGAGCCACTGAGGCTAGAGGAACTGAGCCACTCACAAGCCGCGGATCAAGGCCCCAACGGCGTCGGGGTTTGGTGCCTGAGTCATTAAACCCGCTCGCCTTGGTCTGGCAGGAAAGTACCACGCACCAAGTATCGGCGCCAGAGAGGGAATCGGAAAACAGGGACCAAAACGCGCTTCCATTTAGTAATTTTAAAGTTCCCGAATCCACCCTGTTGCCGTCACTGAGCGAGAGAGCTCCGAATCCACGCGAACGGAGACCTACGCAGTAAATCCGTCACGGTATTGAATCTTTCATTGGAGGTGTTGCTTCGAGTCACTCGCTGTATCTGTATTCGACATAGAACACACAATATTTGAAGTCTACTGCGCAAATACTGATGAAATGATAATGTGAAAATGAGTGTGAACTTCACTTGCAGCAACACCCATGCCCTGCCTCCAAAACCCTCATGCCCCGGTCTAGCGCCCCCGTAGCTGTGCCCTTCTGTCGCATTCCCCATTCCTTCCAGCGGAGGAGACTGCAAGAAAAAAAGACGGTCCTAGAAAGGCGCAGATCTCCACTGGAAGAAGACTGCTGAATCAAAGTGAAGAGGCGGGACACCGAGGCGGGCCATATGCATTGCGGTCCATGGATGGCAATGGCAATGGCAGTGGCCCGTAGGTACTCGGCTGTACGTCTCATTGACTCCGTCCGATCTCACAAAGCTCCCGCTCCAGTGTGCCAAATTCCCACCTTTCTAGTCCCTAGCTTAGCTCCGCTGCTCGCCTTTTCCTCCCACTGCAACTGCCACTCACACTCGGTCACTCTGAAAATCTACCGGCATCTCTAATACTTCTAGTTCGCCCCCCTCGCTCTCAATCCCAGCTTCTGTTCCTCTCTCCTCCCTCCAATCCCAATTACACCCCCTTCTTTAATCAGATTCGCGCGTTTGTTTGACGGCTACAGTGCTGTCAAATGAACCTGCAACGGACTCTTCACATTTTCCCCCATGTAAGTTGAATTATTCCCACCTGCTGCTCTCTCACGACATCACCTTCCCGTCGCTGCAAAATCGTGGTGACTCGCCGCCCCTCGCCCGGGATTTTGCCGTGGCGAACCAAACACGGCAGTCCAGCCTCGGAAATTTCGTCTGAACACCGCAATGCACCGCGCAAATCTTTTTTTCCTCGTTGGCTGCTGCTCCTCAATTTCCTGTCGATCCTGTATCCCCAGACAATTGCGACTGACAATCCAACCACAGAATCCCCCCCTTCCCCGCGAGTTCTAAATGCCCACCATCTACTCCTCCCTCTACCAGAGTTTCATCCGTCAAGGATTTGCGAAATCTTTCACAAACGGCTACGCCCAGTCTGTCGTAGCTGCCACACATCCCATCCTTAACACACAGAACCGGCCCTCATTCGCCCGCCGGAACACCAACCGCTTTGGTCGTCTTCAGTCTTTCCAGCTCCAGTCCGCATTCCACCACGAGCGGACAACCGCCGGTCTTCCCGAGCATCGCCACGAGAAGCTCACCAGCCAGCATGGAAGCCTAGACGCGTACTTTGAGGCCCTGCAGAAGCAGCAGGAGCAGGCCTCCGAGGAGGATCTCGAGAAGGAATGG